TTTAAAGCATTTACATATTTGGGGATGTCCAGCTGAGGTAAGGCCTTATAGGCCAAGCCAAATGAAAAGAAATTGGACTCCAAAACAGTTAGCAGCTACTTTATTGGGTACCCTGAACGCTCTAGGGGCTATAAGTTTTATAATCTCACTATAAGGAATATTTTTGAGACGGGAACAGCAACATTCTTTGAGGATGTTGAGTTTGGGGAGAGAAATAAGGTTAGAGATATTAGTTTTGAGGAGGAATTGGCTTCAGATTCAATCCATACAGTTACTTTTGACAATATTCAGGTTCCTATACCTGTTGTTGCTCAAGAAGTAAATCCGGAACCTCAAGATGATAATGTTGAACAACTCCCTGTTCCAGAAGAACAAACTCAACAACCTCAAGAACCAGTGCCATTAAGGAGATCCACGAGAGAAAGGAGAAATGCTATTCCGGATGATTATATTGTATTTCTCCAAGAACATGAGGAAAGTAGTGGAATGTTAGAAGATGATCCAATCACCTTCTCTCAGGCCATGAAAAGTTCTAACTCTCAACAGTGGATTGATGCCATGAATGAAGAGTATAAGTCTATGCAAGACAATAAGGTTTGGGAACTTGTCCCATTACCAGAAGGTGCAAAACCAATTGGTTGTAAATGGATTTTTAAAACCAAGCGGGATGCAAACGGTAATGTGGAGAGGTATAAGGCGCGTCTTGTGGCTAAAGGCTATACTCAAAAGGAAGGCATTGATTATACAGAGACTTTCTCTCCGGTTTCATCGAAAGACTCTTTCAGAATAATCATGGCACTTGTTGCTCATTATGACCTTGAGTTACATCAGATGGATGTTAAGACTGCATTTCTCAATGGAGACATTGATGAGATGATCTATATGGTGCAACCAGAAAACTTTGTGTCGGGAGACCCAAAGAATATGGTCTGCAAATTAAGGAAATCCATCTATGGACTCAAGCAAGCTCCTCGTCAATGGTATCATAAGTTTCAACAAATAGTTATCTCGTTCGGTTTTGAGATGAACATTGTTGATGACTGTGTATATCACAAGTTCAGTGGGAGTAAGTATATTTTTCTGGTTCTGTATGTGGATGACATCTTGCTTGCCACTAATGATATAGGCATGTTGCACGAAACCAAGAGATTTCTATCAAAGAATTTTGAGATGAAAGATCTTGGGGACGCCTCTTTTATATTAGGGATCCAGATACATCGAGATCGCTCTCGGGGTATTCTTGGATTATCACAAAAGAGCTATATCGATAAGGTACTTAAAAGGTTTGGCATGCAAGATTGCAGACCAGGTGACACCCCTGTTGCTAAAGGAGACAAGTTTAGTCTCAATCAGTGCCCTAAAGGTAACCTTGAAATTCAGGAAATGCAGAAGATTCCTTATGCTTCGGCTGTAGGAAGTCTAATGTATGCTCAGGTATGTACGCGTCCGGATATTGCGTACATTGTTGGGATGTTAGGCAGATACTTAAGCAACCCTGGTATGGATCATTGGATAGCAGTCAAAAGGGTTATGAGGTATCTTCAGAAAACAAAAGATTACATGCTCACATACAGAAAATCAGAGAAATTAGAGGTCATTGGGTATTCGGACTCTGATTTTGCTGGATGCCAAGATAGCAGGAAGTCTACATCAGGCTACATTTATATGTTAGCAGGAGGAGCTATATCATGGAAAAGTGTCAAACAAACACTAGTAGCTTCCTCCACTATGGCAGCAGAATTTGTAGCTTGCTATGAGGCATCCAATCAGGGAATATGGTTGCGAAATTTTGTCACGGGACTGCGCATTTTGGAAAATGTTGAAAGACCACTAAGGCTATATTGTGACAATAAATCTGCAGTAATGTATTCCAATAACAACAGGAGCTCAACTAAGTCAAAACATATTGACATTAAGTTCCTGGTTGTGAAAGAAAGGGTACAGAGTGGACAGATATCCATAGAGCACATTGGGACAAACTCCATGATAGCTGATCCTCTTACTAAGGGATTACCACCTAAGGTCTTTCATGAGCATACTGCTCATATGGGTGTGGTATTATTTGAGGATATTATGTTTTAGTGGGAGTTTGTAATTGTGGTGCTTTATGTTTGGTTGTATTGTCTGATCAGAATAAAGTATTCAGTTAAGACACTCTGTTACATTATGTTTGGTTTTGACCTCACTAAAGAGGACCAGTTGAAAATAGACATGTATTGATCACATTGCATGTAATTTTCATGCCATGATTGATCTATGTCGTTTGATTGTATTGGTATATGTGACCACTGATGGGTCGAGTCACGATAAATGTGACGAAGGCCGCTTTGATCCTATATTGATATAGTCAATGGACGAGATTGTTCGGAAATACCTTTTCAGTGATAGCAATTTTTGAGCTCATAAGGTTATACACAATTTAAGGAATCATATGGTGCCCAAATGGGAGATTGTTGGATTTAATCTAATAAATCTATTTGTGGGCACATATGATTAATCAATGTGTATTGCTACTTTCAGGATAACCCACTAAAGTGATCAATTAAGTTGGGTTAATTTGGTATTTAAATAAGTCATGGGGTTATATGTGCAGATACCAGGTTGTAATTGTAATTTATTGAGGGGCTAAATTACAAAAGTACAACATCTATAAATAAGGGGTTATGGTCCCTAACCTAGGGTTACATTCTCTAATTCTCTACACCCCCATCTAGCTAGAGAAATTCGGTTTTAGAGAAAACCTAAGGTTAGAAGATCCAAAACCCATCTCAAGGTTCATCCATGGATTCAGGTATAAGCTTCCGCTCTTTTGATTATTGTTAATCTCTTTGAATTAATCATGGCTATATGGTTTTAGATCTCAAGTTTTGGTTTAGATCTAACAGGTCTCTCAAACCGAATAAGCTACTTCTTCAAGTCAGCCCCTCTAAATTGCTAACATTTGATTAGGGGAGTTTTTTGAGTTAAACTTTTTCACATTACATACTTGTGTTTGCTCATGGTAGTTTCCATATAAATCGTTTGCCAACCAAACCATTTAAAATTCTATAACTGCTCTCTCGCTTTCTCGTCAAATCTAACAAGCATGTACATTCATCGCGGGTAACACTGTAAACAGTTATTCATGATTGCTCAGTAACTCAATTGGGAAATTCTGAGGGAGGGAATAACCTATAACAATTTATATGATTCTGGCGATCCAATGGCGGTTTCATTGATTCCAGGGACTAAGTTAAAATTATTGCAGATGTAAGGGACTAATATGAAAATAACTTGAAATTCAATGCTCCGTCGCTTGGAGGACGTTTGCTTCATGGATTGCATTTGGATGCACGTAAGAGTTTTTGAGGCTATTCAATTTTTTTTTTTTGCATTATGAAGCACGTGAAGGATTTTGAAAGATCAATATTAGAAATATGTTTTTTCGCGTGATGGGTAGTAAAGAGTATTTGCATAAGTGATAAGATTACGTGATTTCTGTTGAATATATGTTCTTAAAATCATAAAACATAATTTTATGAGTCGGTTGGTTCTTAGATTGTATTTTTATGCATGTTATGGATCTAGAAATATCCAATACTCAAAATCTTGTTTGTTCGCCATGATTAAATTGTATTTGCATGAGAGATAAAATTCAACAATACTTTATTTGGTCGTGTATGTAGTTCGTTGAGGATATGTGACTAAATCGCAAATTTGTGTGAAATCAGCACAATTTCAAGGAATTTCATCTACGCGACCCCAAATTCTTGGCATGAAAAAGACAAACAAACAACATTTTTGGCCAAAAAGTAATAAGGTTCCATTTATTTAACCTCTCAGAAATTAGCCTAAAACTCTTAGAAATTAGAATGTAAGACATAAGCAAAATTAAATTTCAAATTTTACAAGGGGAAAAACAATGTTTAAAGCAAATTACTTAATTAGATAAGAAATCAATGTCATAAATGATAATACCTGCACCAATCAACTAATCAAGTAAGAGTTGACCTGGTCAATCGAGGGGGAAAAAAGTAAGAGTTAAACTGATAAGAAAGATAATTTTAAATTCGGGTTTTCTATAGAGAGCCCATGAGCACTCTATAAGGGAGGAGAAAGATAGAGAGAAATGAATGAGGAGGGGATCCCAATGCAAATTAGAGGGCCCCCTCTTCATTCATTTCTCTCTATCTCTCTCCTCTCTTATAGAGTGCCCATGAGTACTTTATAGAAAAACCGTTTTAAATTAGTAAAAAAAAACGTTTTTGAATGATCCATTTGCGCCAACCAATTAGAACTTAAGTCCCTAGAAAATTGATAATTAGATAACAAATTAATGTCTCACTCTCCTACTTCCATCAATCAAAAGGTCAATTAAGATAACAAATCAACATTAATTAATATTTGCAATTTAATTAATTACAAATCATTCCTCAAATAAATAAATAAATAAATACATCATAAAAAAGGCCACCCTCAGCCCCCTCCGTCCGCCTCTGTGTATATCATCACTTGTTTGTTTATTTTTTAACAGCATCCATAGATTTTAAAGTTTCTAATATTTGCAGTGGGATATCTTTTATAAAATTTTCCATGTGCTGCTCACAACCTAAGATTAGAACTTGTTAGTCCTTAAATTTATTGAATAACTGTTAAATAATCCTTATTTTTTTTAAATCTATCCAAATTATATTTTCAAATAGAATTATTGTGAATTTAACAGTTAATTAAATAAGATATTTGGGGCTTATGAGTTTCTAACATAAGTTTGTGACTACCAAACGGACAAATTTAAAGGAAAATTCTCACGTTTAAATAACAGAAGATGCTAATATGCAATATTATAGATGCTGACAAAAAAAAGGAAGGGTATATAAGTGCGAAAATAGAAAAGTATAAGGTGCTTAAATGCTAATTAGCCTAAATAAATCTAAAGCAAACAGACAGTCAAATCAGCTAACAAACAAAAAAGGGTGAATTAATAATCAATTAACCACCTGCAGAGAAAACTTAAATAAAATAGAAATAAATAAAAGCGAATAATTGCCCAATGAGCAAGGCACCCCATCTCTCGTCGCTGTGGTGGATCCGATCTCCAGAACATCCAGCGATCGTTAAACAGAGAGAAGAGAAAATGGCGTTTTTTGTTAATCTCGAGGACTCTCCTATGTTCAGAAAACAGGTCATTTTCTCTAATTTCTTCCATTTTCTCTAGTTTCTTCCTTTTTCTGCATTTCCCCCCCCCTGTTTTGAGCTGAGATCTCAATTGGGTTTCCGCTTTTGTTGGTATGTAATGGATTTAGAATTTAAAGGCCTGAGCTTGCAATTGAAATTAGGGCTAATCTGCAGTGCAGCTTGCAATTGAATTGAAAATTTCAGATTTTTGGGCGAAATTAACGTGCTTAAGATGAAAAATTGAATTCTCATTATATGTAATTTCAAACAATACCAATGAAGATTAGCTTTTGAAACTGAAATCTAATTCTTGCAATTTTTTGTTTATTTTTCTTCTTTTAATGAATCGAATTCTTTTGATCCATTTGACTGTACTAAAGCCTGTCTAGCAAATTTAAGAGAACTTAATAGTCTTCTACTATGAAAAGATTATTTTGAAATCCGAATTGCTTTTGGGTTGAGAATGTGAAGAGCTCAGCTGTTCAATTGCTATCCACTTTGGTCAGTACTAAACTCTAAGCATATGCAAATAATGAGTATTATAATTTGCACGAGGCAACTTTGTTCAGTAAAGAATGATGCCTCTAGTGTAGAAGGGCGTCCACAAAGTTATTCACTTTGTCAAGCAAATCACTACGAAGTTAATGTAAGTTTTTAAAATGGTTTTATGTCTAAAGACCCTTTTTCTATTTTTCAGAGCATCGCTGATGTTTATTCTGGAACCACAGCTGTGAACTTATATTGGTTTATTTATGACTGACATAGTAACATGTGGATGTATCTATGATTAAGTTCCTATAACAGTATCCAATTACCACCTTCATCATCCAAAATTTTTATTTTATTCATCTGGGAGTCTACTACGTGGGAATTCAAGTGATACTATACTCTTACACATATTCAATGATCAAAAACTTTGACACCTCTCTGTGCTTGTTTAATAGTGCAAGGAAGTCTTTAATAATGTGCAAAGAGCATAACCATCCTCTTTTTCCCTTTTTAAAATCATTCCACAATCTATATTCCATCCTCTGCATGTTAAGTTTGATTTCACATTTCTGGCTCTAGTTTTTCCTCTTAACCTCATTAAGTTAGGACCACTTCAGTCAACATTCTCTGGCTTAATTTTTTTTCATAACCTGACATTTGTATCTTCTTGATTGATTTTCGTGCTCTTACTTTTTCATCCGAATTTATATTGATTAAGTATTAACTTTCTTGCTTGAAGTAAAAGCCTGATCATCTTTTCTCTTGTTGACCATGAAGATGTACTCTCTGGAACATACAGCTGATGAGCTAAAAGACCGGTGCCATAAGCTTCAGAAAGGTTGTAAGAAATTTGTGTAAGTATGCTCTATTAGTCTAAATTATTAACAGATGTACTTTTGTGTCTAGAATAAAATTGTTAAATTGTATATATATATCTCTGTGTGTGCGTGCATGCGTGCGTGCTGACATGTGCTCCTTGTACAAATTTATTGATGGATACCTCACTGTTTATATATCCAAACATCACAAATCAATAGTTCTGCAGTCATATGGCTGTTCATGGAGTCATTCTGATGTGTGCTTGTCTCATCTTTTTCTTGTTAGTGTTTATGTCATAATCTTCATTTCACTTTCTTGTGATGACAATTATATTCTTGTTGATAAAAACGTTAACATTTGTTTTTAAGTTTTGAGGACATGCATTTGTCTACTTGCTTGGTTCATATGTTCCCTTCGCTTCTCCATCTGCATAAAATCACATGCTTGTAGGCATATCTGTAGATATGATCTGGTTGATCTTATTCACAGATTTTGGTTTTTGAGAATTGGATCTTTATCTATGTTATCAAGCCTTGCATTTTGTATCATGTTTCTCCCCATGCAGGATATCACTTGATGAAGCTTACGAGGGAGATCTTTCCTTTGCGGATTCCTTGGAAGCATTTGGAGCTGGACAAGATGACCCAATCAGTGTATCTATAGGAGGTTATTCAACTATCCCTTCAAAACTTTAGCATAAAGCGAGCTACCTTCTCATTTCTGTTCCTTTTTCTGCTATTAGCATCCATCTATGTGCAATGCTCAAAGATGAACCTGTTTGTTTAGTTTGTTTGCTTCTTTTTTTTTTAAATTTTTATTTATTTTTTAAAATCAGGGAGAGCAGAGTTGCTTTGGGCTCTCTAATTGATATTAATGTTTATAGGCTGGTATAGCTAAAAATTTACTTCTATGCCTCAGTATACAAGGACTGGAGGCAAACATAAGTATATAACTCACTGATATTGGTTAAGTGTTCTCACTGGTTTTCGCAAAATGTATGCATATTTTGTGCTTTAATCAGTTACTTTCTAATTCTTTTCCCATATATCTCCCTAACTCAGCTGGAATATGTTCGTTGCACAGGTCCTATCATGTCAAAGTTTACTACTGCATTTAGAGAGATTGGTACCTACAAAGAACTTCTTCGCTCTCAAGTAAGTTTTCATCATAGATCGTTAACTTACATTGTCCTTGTCATTCTGGTGAGCTCTATATTCATGAACAATCAGATGGGAAATGTATAGTGCGGCATTGCTTATTATCACAGACTGGCAAAAATCATGGTATTTAAGGCGGGATGTAAAATTATGTCCTTTCCAATTATTAGTATACTTAGGTTAATTGATATAATCTTGAGCTGTTAATAAGGTGCAATTAGATATATAAGCAATGCCAAGTGTGGATTAGCATTCTGGCACTATACTTCTTTATTAACTTTACTGGTGATATTCTTACAGGTGGATCATATGCTCAGTGATCGTGTAATGCAGTTCTTGAGCACTGATCTGCAAAATGTTAAGGTATTGACCTGTTTTTGTTCAAATCCTACCCGGTTGATACCATAGTACATTGTTAGATAACTGTGAGGATAACAACTTTTGAGTACAACTAAAATGGACAGTGATGTTTCCTTCAGGGGGGTTGTTCATTGGATATTTTGGGGCAAAACGGGTTCATTGTCCCAATGGGATAATTTTACCCCTTGGGATAATTTGAGTGGGATAAATTAGGATAAAGTGGGGTAAAATGAGATGATGAGACAATTTGAGTGAGACAATTGATATGACATCTTTTTAGAATATGATATTTATATATCAATTAAGTTAAAGTGTAACTTATTATTACATCAAATCATGAATAAATAATAATGATAATAATAATAATATTATTAGTTTAATATAGCACATTAATAATAATAAAATAATAATAAAAAAATTATTAATATTAATTAATCTTTGAATATTTTGATGTTTATTTTAACTATTATGCTATATTAACAATTTTTTAATTAAATTAATTATTTAATCATTCTTACATTTATTATTAAATATATATTCCAATTAATATTTTAGTATATATATTAATTAATATAACGTACCTCTTCGTGTATTTAAATTATCGATATTTTTTACCTCAAAAGTTTACAAGATTTTGAGTATCCGGTTCATCTTTCAGTCAGGTATAAATGTAGCCTCCATTTGATATAATTTGTCCCATCGACACCTTCAAGCCAAGGGCGATCCTAAAATTGACAGAAGCAGAATTATTGAAGAGATTCTAACATGTAAAAGACCTCAACTCAAGCAGTTAGTCTGAGAATGTAAAAACCTTTATTACATCAGACCATTTAAGTCAAGCCTCTATCGGCGTTGGGTAGACGTTTGACTGATAAGAACTTTAACTTCTGTAGTTAATATAGCTTCCTCAAGGACATTCAAATGTGATCTCCAAACACCATCTGTATGAATCAATCAGAAAGAATCTCAGCAATCAGATTGTCTGAGAGGAATCAATAGTTATAAGCAGACAATTTAGATGAACTCTATGTGCTAATATATATTGTTCTTACGAGAAATGCCACCCAGTATCATATCCAATCATTGTTGTAAGTCCGTAAGAAACATACTAGTTATTAAATTATTATTTAAAGAAGAATAATTTGATGATGATAAAGTATTAATTATTACAAATAAAATCTCAGTCAATAATTTAAATCTTAATTATTTATAAATATAATCTAGTTGCATATAACTTTGCTCTGACTCCTTGGGCTACATTTGTCCCATCTTGCCACATCGTTGCCATTTCTCTCCAACGTGATGTAGCTGTCTGTTGTGCTTGTTTAGTCTATAGATCATCGTCCTTATCAGAATCACCATCAAACGAAGCAACATTGCATGGTGCATTTGGAGAAAGATCGGAAACTTCAAAGTCATCGTTAGAGTTCTCCATCTTCAGAAAATCATGCAGACTGATACATGCCCAGATCATACTTTTCTGAGTCTCATATGGGAAACCTAGAGGTTTGAGACTTAAAAATAGTGAACTTAGACTTATGACGTTCAATACAATTTCTAAGAGATGCATGTCGATGGTTGAATGACTCATGAGGATTGCGTGGTTGCTGACGATTATTGGCTAAGTCAACTTCTTAAGGTGGTACCTCATACCCTGATAGAGAGTGAAGAATTGTAACCTATTTGGATAACCACAATCAGCTAGATAAAAATTTGCCTGCACTAAAATTTCTTTGGAATTATAATCAATAAATATAAAATCTAATAATTTGATAAAAAGTATTTACCATTACATGCACTTTATCATTGCATCCTTTAAGACATGTGAATCATTGGCAAATCTTTTCCATCCCACTAAGACATAAATAAACCTAAGGTTAAATGTGCATGTCGCAAGGATATATTGAGAAAGATAACCATGCCTTTTACGATATGGGTTTTGGTCCTCGTCATATACCATACGTGGAATGTGAGTCCTGTCAATAGCACTAATACAATCCTATACATTCCATTAACATGTATGAGATGTGAATTTAAAATTATAATAATAATGAATGAAGACTTATATAACACATTTAAATTTCAATGCCTTAAAATAAGGCCAAAAATGAGATTTCGATGTGACCTTTTATGGCGGATCAGTAGGAGGAGCCATCATACAAGGGGCTAATGACACAAGAGCCTTTATTGAAACAGATGCTGACTACAAATCGTGATCGATCAAACCTCTTAGTGGTAATGCAATACCGTTGATTTTGAGTAATAATGAGAAGGAAAATAGCAACAATCTCCTCAATGCTGTTATATCGTGTATCCTATAAATGCCTACATCCTCGCAAGACCATACACAAGCTCATGAAGCAATCTGGATACATACAATATACTCGACGAAAATCACGTGCATTGCTCTCTATCTTAGATTGCAAGTATTGAAGGCTAAGGTCCGTAATGTCATGTCTGAGTTGTGAGATGTGTACATTTAACTCCTCTTATGATATGAGGTGCGAGATACTCGTAACTAAACCTACCTGTTAGCCATGTTGATAATGAGAATGAGGAGATAATTAACAATATCCTCGTGAAATAGCAAAATAGACACTATTTTCCATCTTGTAATAATCATGAAATCAAAACATAGTTATATTTACGCTACAAGAGCTAATAACATAACTAATATTATTCAAATAGGTCATTACAATAGGCAATACAAGTAGGAAGCAAAAAACCACACTCTCCATCTGGAGTAGTGCATCAATAAATTGCATCTACAATCTTTCGCTAGCATCTACACACAAGTGAGTAAAATCCTGGTTCACTATAGTTTCTTTTAACTAATTTCATAAAAAATGTGATTACCGGGTAGAACATGATAACATAAGTAACAAAAGAGTTCATTAGACTTTTTGGTGACCATTTTAATCCATTCTTATCAGACTAAAATCATTCAACATTGTTTAGCTTACTGACTATGCTCCTTAATAATTGATACTGAGTAATTTGTTGTTCATCTTAAATTTTCTATAAGAACAGCCCACCACTACTTTCCACTGAAAACTCACTAAAGGCCTTAAGCTTGACCTATTGCATGTGATATTTTTAGAACAATGCATAGTGAACCAATAACAAGGGAATTACTACAATGAAACTCTTGCAAACAATGCATATTGAACTAATAACAGGCTATAGACAACATATTGACCTCTAACTAGAAATGAGAATCATGCATCACAGCACCATTGCTTATGACAGTGACTGTAACATAATTCATATTTTTCAAATACGTCATTACAATAGGCAACACAAGTCAAACTCTTACAAAGTGAAACATGGCAAAAAATTTTACTTGAAAGAGAAAACCATCATACATACATAGTTATAACAATGATATTTAAAACCATATAGTAATCGAAGCATCCATGTGCTTAACATAGAAGTCCAAAAGCATATAATTAACAACATCAAACTATAGATTATCTCCTCCATGTGCTTAATGTACACATATAAAAGCATCCACTTGTAAAATTACATAAATACATAAAACTACTAGATTTTATGCACGTGCAATACACGTGGTTAAATTTCATGGTTAAGTATTTTTGATTTATTTCCTTACTAAAATTTATTCCTCGGTTTTACTTTGATGGTTTTTGCTCACTTATATCGCTAAACTTTAGCATTTTAATTATTTATTTTCTTTTAAATGAGCTACATCCGATTTAAATTTTTATGTTGATAATTGAATTGATAGAATATGAATATATACCGAAGATACCTTGAATTATCATGTTATTTGGACCGACATGAAATCAAGCTTGACCTGAGAAAGTATAGTGTTGTAAAAGTGAAAACACTTGAAAAATAACATTATATAAGAAAGATGAATAATTGAAGCTAATAAGATAAGATGATTGGTTAAAAGTAGGCTAAAACAACACAAAAGAGAATATGAAGTTTATTCCTAATCATTGATTGACTTTAAAAAATCATAAATTAAAGACTAATGCTAACTCTAGTATACTTTTATATGATAAAATCATCCACATAAGCATGTAAAAGTATTTAAAAATTTATGAAAATCCCTTCTAAAGATTCATAATTTACTTTAAAAAATAAAGTATTTTATAAAATATTTTAAAAGCGGTATCTTTCATTTCTTCTATTTTATTTTTTGAGCCGACATCAACCCTTCTCCAACTTTATCTTTTTCGATAAAATTAAACTACATTTAGATGTTGAAAAAGGATAGTAAACCTCAAATTAGAAGTTAGATTTATATATTTTAATGGAAGAATATCAAACAAGTATACTTTTCGTTGCTAAGTTTTAATTTTTTTTTTGTTATTTTAAATTTTTGAGGGTGTGTCTTTGCATATTTTGAAACATTGAGTGTGTTTTTTTAAAAAGCTGGGTGCTTATAATTTTTAATTTTCATGTGTTGGTGGTAAGTTTTCAAATGTCAGCATACTTCTTGCAACTCTGAAATTTTAGAAGTGTTTTTTATAATTACTAAAACTTTGGATTCTTTTTTGTAAAATTTAAATTTTCAGCGGTTTGCTGATAACTTCTAGATTTGATATGTACTGGTTATATGTTTTGAAATTTTAGGCTTCTTGTGATTGTTAACTTTTGAATGAGTTTTTTTTAATTTTTATATATTTGAGGTTATTATTTATAAATTTTAAATTTTCAGGTGCCTGATAGTAATCCCTTGAATTCATCTTTGTTGTTTGCAAGTTTTAAAATTTTAGAATTTCAGAGTTTTTTTTTATTATTTAAACCTTTGGGTGTGTTTCTATAATTTCTAAGATATTGAGGGTGTTAATTGTAGATTTTAAATTTTTCGGAGGCTACTGTTAATATTTAGATTTCATATCTGTTATTTTAACTTTAGCATCAGGATGTTTTGTGTAATTTTAAACCTTTGAGGGTATTTTGTGCAATTTCTGAAACTTTTTGGGTTATTTGTAATACTTCATATATGATAGCATGTTAGTCCATTACTTTAACAAACTAATATCGTGAAGCAGTTTTATATATTTTATTAATATTATTTTCTTCAATTGTTGACCTGTAGGTAGTTCACATGGGATTAGGATAAGATATAATTATGATAAGGATATATTAAGATTTAAATAAACTATTTTAAATAGTAAATGATAATATTGACCATGGAAAGCTTTTCCTGAACTCATAGTTTTAAATAGAGTATGATATAGTCACTGAAGCATCTATGTGCTTAACATATATATAAAAGCATTTATGTTCCCAAAATACAACTCTAAAAGCATAGTCATCAAACTAAGAGTCCAAAAGCATAGTCATTAATAAGCATAGTGATTGTCATCGTTTGGAAATGCTCCAGTTAGTCTCTAAATCATGAACATTCTCCTTTGATCGTCATTCATCTTCACGAACATATCCTTCACGTCATGGAAAATATTTTAACTTAGGACAATCAACTGTTATTCATCGATAAACTCTGGAATTGAAGTCACTCCCTCAACCTATGGTTGTGGTTTCGCAACAACCTCACCTCTGTGACCAATTCTTGCAAAGTCTTCCTTATAATTGTAATTCCATTTGCCATTTCTTGCACGGTAGGTTGAGACCATGTAGAGGCGGTAGTACGGTGAGGTGCTCTACGGATATTTTTGCTAGTGCTAGAGGTTGATGGTACAGACTCAGCCATGGGAGTAGCATGACTTGGAGTGCTATTAGGGGGAGGTGGTGGAGGATCTACTAGTCGTTAGGTAGGTTCTTGTTCGCCCATAGCATCAAGGCTAATCTCATCATCAAACATACTCTCGCCCAAAGCATTATGTGACGGTGCACTCTCTACACCCTCACTTCCTAAGCCTCCAGTAGCTCTCCCACTTGCAGAGTGGCTGCCCACCACCATCTGCATGTCATCCAAATTTTCAAACAACATATCTTTAAGCATTTGTGTATTAGGATGAGCCTGTCAAAAAGCAAAGATAACAAATTGATATTTTGATTTTTTTGTAATTAGCAAACATAACAATGTATTATGTATTTAAGATTTTTGAGTAATTAATAATCTAACCTGCTTATAATTTTCCCACACCTTAACGGAGCAAAGTAATTCTTGGAGATATTAGGTCGCAACCAAACTTGGAATTGTTCCTCAGTAGTAATTCAATTGGTTCAATTTTCCTCTTCCAACTCTAGATCTTATTCTTTATATGGTCAAAAGTTCTCCTAAATTTAGCGTTCATGAATGGCAACACATTTTGAGTGATGGTATATTTCTTGAAGTTGCTGTTATCCATCTTATTGCCATTCTTTACCTCCACCAAAAGCCTTAGTAACTCTCTACTCTCTCGTTCTGACCATATTACATAGTCACTCTAGCTTTTTTTCGCTTCTCACCATCTTGAGAGTACTTTTCTATATTTTGAGTTTCCAAAGTAAAATTCATCCTACAACACAAATAACAATAATGACCAAAATTCACTTGCTAAGACTATAGCTTTATGTAATATGTACAAGTAAGAGTTCAAATATAGCTTCAAGAAAATTTCAAATTATGTAATAAAGTCTTAGTCATGAAATAAAATCTTAATTATAACAAATATAATCCGATGTCTAACAAATTTTGATCTAGAATCCAATGGCTAACAAAAAAAAATCTTAATTATAACAATTTCACAAGTTTTTCAATCTATCCAATTCATGATAGGTTACATCATAGAAAACTTATTCACTTAGAAACCAAGCATTACCAAGCAATGTTTCAAACAATTAGCAGTTGCTAAAATACCTCATGAAATCATATGTTTCACATAAGTAATGACTAACATTTTTTATTTTGTCTATACATATTTATCTATAGTCTATATATAAATTATAGTAAACAATGCCTAAAATGTAATATTTCTTCTATACATATTTTTCATCCATTATATGTCACATAAACAGTGCTGAACTTGTTTTTTTTTTAAATGTTAAAAAACAAACTAGATGTGCCTGTAGGGAGGTGAAAACAAGCTCAAAGCCTAACATATAGGTCAATAGACATAAAAAAGAACTAATATTACCAAAAAATCACAAAATAATTAGAAGTCAAACCCATAGGTAGGATGAAATCAAATCTCCCAAAATTTGATTAAGCATATACCTTGATGGTAACAGATTCGAACAAGACGTGGCTGTTGGGAGGCGTTGGAAGTTGCTACGGTGACTATAAGGATGGATCTTAAAGAGGAGGCACGAAACTGTTGCGGACGATGCTCATCGAAATCGAAGCTCATGAAGGGGAGTTGAGAAGAGATAGAGAAGGAGAGTAAGGCTGGAGGAGGGAGAGGGGAGATGGAGAAGAAAGAAGGTTGAAGAGATTGCACCGCAAGAGAAAGAAGATGACCCCGGAAGAGAACGCGATGGAATCTAGGGAAAAATTGTCCCATGTTCCAATAAGCAGACCGGGGCAATTTTGAGGCGGTGTCTAAAGAGTCCTTATATATTTGTGGTAATTTTAGAAAAAGTAGAGTAATTGTCCCACAATTATCCCAACAAACTAATAACACTATAAAGTTGAATCCATACCCAATTGTCCAAATGAATAACACCAAAAAATGTTATCCCAAAATTATCCCAATATCCCCAAATTTGCACCAATGAATATCTCCTCTCAGTGCTTGTTTCATATATTGCATATAATATGCACCCGAAAATGATGTATAGAGTTATAAATTTAAGCTCTAACATGAAATTCTATATTGAAATGAACATTATTAATTCAATCAGTAAGTACACATTTTGATAAGTGGAAGATGGGGTTAATTCTGGTCCCACTATTTATCTCATAATTGGACCTTTTAATTAATTGAATGACCGGTCATTCAATTAAATACTAATTGGCTAGTCACTTCTAGTTCTAGTACTTTTTGTCAATTTAAGTTGTATATTTCATTTCATTTTTAAGCAGTATAACTTACTCAGTGTGTCACAAGTTAATATTTTCATGAACAAAAAGCAAAAGTTGCTCGATATCTCACAAATTTTCATTTTCATAAGTGGTCAGGATATTGCACTTATGAATAAAGCTATTCTGTTGATCAATACTTTTTTACGTATGTCATTGAAATCCATTAAGTTAATTGATGGAAAGCACTAGAAGTAATTAACTATTTAATTAGTATTGCATTACATGACCAGCTATCCAAGCAATTAAAACATAAACATGAACATCCAATTAAGTTATAAATACAATGACCAACTATCCAATTAACGGTTTTTGAGTGCTAGATATTAAAGAAAGGTGATAAAGAAACATGTTTAAGCTATGATTTAACAGTTTGAATGGATATGTAGGATTCTCGTCGGCGCTTTGACAAAGCTACGCAGGGTTATGATCAGGTATTCTTCTTTTGTCAAGTTCTCTAATTCTTGCATGCTTCTATTTTCTTTATTAAAGCCGTCTGCAGGTATAAGGGGTGTGCCTCATTCCCAAGCATTCAAATTGCAAATGCACATGCACACATGCGTGTATATATGGCGACACTCAGTCACACACATGTATATACATGCATACATGTATGCATGTAGAATACAAATTAGAGAATCATGAAGGCATTCAAACTGCAGGATTTACATTATTAATACACTTGTAGGCATGGCTGCAATATAAATTTTGTTTTAATTTTAATTTTTTGTGTATCACAATCCTGATGTGAGGTGTTTGTGCATAGGCTCGTGAAAAGTTTATGTCACTGAAGAAAGGCACACGTCCAGATGTTGTTACTGAACTGGAAGAAGTAAGTGTTTCTTCAGATGATGATATCTACTTTTTTATACAGCTTCATGAAGTTTATTGCTCTAATAACCTGTGTCCTAATTTTCAGGACCTGCACAACTCAAAGTCAGCATTTGAAAGATGCCGATTTAATCTAGTATGTAGCATGCACCACCTATTCATTTGTTATCAAGTTAATTTATTGGTTCATTGTTTCCATTTCCGTGGTTGTAAGAATTGCAGGTTAGTGCTCTTGCAAATATTGAAGCAAAGAGAAAGTATGAATTTTTGGAATCTATAAGTGCAGTAATGGATGCTCATTTGAGATATTTTAAGCAGGTGTTAGTCCTTTTTTAATGCCAAACATTGACCTTTTAAATTGCCTATACTTATTTTCTATAGGAATTTTGATTGTTGCCTTCCTTTTTGGGTTCAGGGATACGAGTTATTGAGCCAGATGGAGCCATTCATTCACCAGGTACCTACTTAACAAATTTGCCATGAGAGTTTGGCCAATAATTTAGTTCAGACCTTAACTATATAAATCTTTGCTGTGCGAGAAGGTTTTGTCATATGCACAACAGTCAAAGGAAATGGCTAATGCTGAACAAGATAAACTTGCAAAGCGAATTCAGGAGTTCAGAACTCAGGCTGAACTAGCCAGTTTAAGATCTTTGACCCATATGGATGCTTCAACTAGCGGTGGTGATGGTATCCACGTTGTTGGTATTAATTCGTACAAAAACATAGAAGCACTTATGCACTCTACAGCAAATGGACAGGTACTGACACTTGATATTATAATTTTTCTTCTCATTAGGTTATAGAAACAGTTAAGAACATCTGTTACCAAATAGCAAAGGACTTTGGTTTGGTAATTATCAACTCATGTTGAGAATTTCTTGTGTCTATTGTCTTATAAATTTTTTGGGACTGATTTTTACATCTTTTCTATCACCAATATTCAATTTACTGATCTATTTTCTTGCAGTTCTTTTCTTACATTTTAATTGTGTTTATTCCCATGACCTTAGTGCTAAGAACCTAGTACATAATGCTTAGTCCTTCACAATTATCTTTCAGGTTAAAACCATTAAGCAAGGTTATCTCCTCAAGCGTTCTTCAAACTTGAGAGGAGACTGGAAAAGGAGGTTCTTTGTGCTTGATAGCCATGGAACTCTATACTATTACCGACCTAAATGGAACAACAAACAAAGCAAACAATTAGTAAGCTATCTTTCTTGTTTACTTTCATTTTATCATTGCTCTGATGAGAGCTATGAATGTATCCTTAGAATTGGTGTTGGCATTAACATTTTTCTTGTATTAGTCCAGATTATTTGGTATACAAGGCTATGTGGGCTTAATGCACATATTTTCCTCTTTTTTTCCACATTGTTTATAGTGTGCTGCGATCTTTCAAATATCCATATGCATCCTTTTTTTTCCTTCTTTTTTCCTTACATGTATATCATGGACATTTTGGGTTGGGTGTTGAATGCAAAAATCACTTGAAGATTTTTTTCCAAAGGCCTCTGCTGCTGCACCAAAACTCTATGTCATGCTAGGTGTCGAGGGCTGTAATCCTATACTCTTAACACGCCAACGCCCTTTTTTGACCGAAACCTGGACCCACACAACAGGGTCAATTTTAACTTACGTTTTAAATGTGTGGCCGCTGTGAATTGAACCTTGGTTGCTCTGATGCTATGTCAAAGGTCTTTGACACCGCACCAAAACTCTGAGGTTATGGTGAGCGTTGAGGGTTGTAATTTTATACTCTTAACAATAGCAACAAAGCATTTATCCCAGAATGTTTGGGGTCGGCCACGTGGATCCTATTCTTCCATTATGTTCTATTCAAGGGCAGCTCATTTGTTAAGTGGTCATTATCATACCCTTCTTAATTACTCCCAACCAAGTTCTTTTAGGTCTACATCTAGATCTCTTAGTTTCATGAACTATAATATTATCACTTTACCTGACCGATGCGTTAAGAGGTCTCCATTGTACATGACTAAACTATATTAGTCGATTCTCACACATTTTATCTTCAATAGGAGTCACCTATAATTTACTATGGATTCGTTCATTTTTTATCCTATTTTTTAGTGTATACTCATAAGACCATCGTAACATTCTACATCTACTTTCTCCTTACAACTTATCCTGGTGCTATATCACAACAATCTAATATGATATGTGTTGTATATTTTCCTTTATTGAAATAAATTATCTATTTGTTTGTGCTCGCAGCATTGTGCAATAATTTTGAAAGATTAAATTTTGTCAGTATGTTTCCTATGGGTTCCTAAAGAAAAAGCTTGGTGATTCTACACGCACAGGGGGTGACTAGCACCTCGAGGCACTAAGGCGGGTGCCTAGGCTGGTTAGGTCCACCTAGGCAGCCGTATAATAAAGTGCTGCAGTTCACAGCTTCTAAGCTTCCACCTAGGTCATTTTTAACAGCACTGCTTATGAATGTCAGACTAATTGGGACGATGTAAAAAGAATACTAGATGTGCCTGGTGCAAGAATCAAATGCAAAATCGTGTTAAAGCCAAATTGGATTGTATAAAATAATGACAGATCATGTTAAAGCCAATACAAGACACTGCTTTGAAGCAGCTGTTACAACTGAGGCATATAAACATTAAGATGTTATCTTTGACCGCTTGAGGGCCATAATAGGGAAGATGAGCTAACTTCAGATTTTCTAAGAAAGACGTAAATATCATGTAAGTAGGATTGCATACTGTTGATCTTTCTTTTAGTTAATTTAAATCTACAATGGATTTTCTTGGCAATTTGCTAAAAACTTATTTTAATAACCTTTGTTTTATAATTGTCACTTGACAAGGAGCTCAGTTACAAAATTTAGCTGGTGCATCTGGTGTAGTTATGTTTTTGGATATTTAAATTATCGCACAAAGTGTATCATTTCAGGATGAGGATAGTCTTGGTTGCCATACTGTTGATCTTCGCACATCAACGATAAAGATTGATGCAGAGCAGTCAGACCTGAGATTTTGTTTCAGAATAATATCACCAATGAAGACATACACTCTGCAGGTATGTTATAAAATCTACAATTTGCAGTGTAGGTACTTCTGATTATGAGCTTTGCTTCTTCCTTCTTTAGGATGGTTTGTACTACATTTTCCTTCTAGGTCATCCTCAATGCATGTCTGCTGATGATCCATTTTGCGTATATATCAGGCTGAAAATTCTGCGGATCGTGTAGACTGGGTTGATAAGATTACAGGAGTTATTGCATCACTTCTAAATTCTCCTTTCATAAACCAGGTTATCCACTCATTTTTTTATTATCATTCTATCTGTGTTATTTGTTGGATTTCTCATCCAAGTTTAAGAAGGCTAGAAGTTAGCTCTTTCTGGGTCTTCTTCTATATGCTTCTTCTTGCCATGCTCTCTGATTAGTATAACTATATTAAGTTATATTTACTGGAAGACTAGATGATCTGACTGGATCTATCGATTTCCTGACAAGCTTGATTCTGATCCTTAGACTTGGGGCGTTAACTTTCTTATCCAGACCAACCAAACAATTGGAATGAGACAAGGAACTACTTCTTACTTGCAGTCCTTCAATTATTCATTTTTCAGGTTTCCTCTGGGAAGATATATACTGAGGGTAAAAGCTTTACCGATACAAGTGGTTTTGAATCTTTGTCGGACACAAACGTGCAAGGACATGATAGCGTTTCTACGATCCTTAAGAGTATACCTGGAAATGATGTTTGTGCAGAATGTGGTGCTCCTGAACCAGATTGGGCGTCGCTTAATCTTGGTATTCTGATATGTATCGAATGCTCTGGTGTTCACAGGACCTTATTTAAACCTTTGTTTTATAATTGGTCACTTGACAGATTTTCTAAGAAAGACGTAAATATCATGTAAAGTAGGATTGCATACTGTTGATCTTTCTTTTAGTTAATTTAAATCTACAATGGATTTTCTTGCAATTTGCTAAAAAACTTATTTTAATAACCTTTGTTTTATAATTGTCACTTGACAAGGAGCTCAGTTACAAAATTTAGCTGGTGCATCTGGTGTAGTTATGTTTTTGGATATTTAAATTATCGCACAAAGTGTATCATTTCAGGATGAGGATAGTCTTGGTTGCCATACTGTTGATCTTCGCACATCAACGATAAAGATTGATGCAGAGCAGTCAGACCTGAGATTTTGTTTCAGAATAATATCACCAATGAAGACATACACTCTGCAGGTATGTTATAAAATCTACAATTTGCAGTGTAGGTACTTCTGATTATGAGCTTTGCTTCTTCCTTCTTTAGGATGGTTTGTACTACATTTTCCTTCTAGGTCATCCTCAATGCATGTCTGCTGATGATCCATTTTGCGTATATATCAGGCTGAAAATTCTGCGGATCGTGTAGACTGGGTTGATAAGATTACAGGAGTTATTGCATCACTTCTAAATTCTCCTTTCATAAACCAGGTTATCCACTCATTTTTTTATTATCATTCTATCTGTGTTATTTGTTGGATTTCTCATCCAAGTTTAAGAAGGCTAGAAGTTAGCTCTTTCTGGGTCTTCTTCTATATGCTTCTTCTTGCCATGCTCTCTGATTAGTATAACTATATTAAGTTATATTTACTGGAAGACTAGATGATCTGACTGGATCTATCGATTTCCTGACAAGCTTGATTCTGATCCTTAGACTTGGGGCGTTAACTTTCTTATCCAGACCAACCAAACAATTGGAATGAGACAAGGAACTACTTCTTACTTGCAGTCCTTCAATTATTCATTTTTCAGGTTTCCTCTGGGAAGATATATACTGAGGGTAAAAGCTTTACCGATACAAGTGGTTTTGAATCTTTGTCGGACACAAACGTGCAAGGACATGATAGCGTTTCTACGATCCTTAAGAGTATACCTGGAAATGATGTTTGTGCAGAATGTGGTGCTCCTGAACCAGATTGGGCGTCGCTTAATCTTGGTATTCTGATATGTATCGAATGCTCTGGTGTTCACAGGAATCTTGGTGTCCACATTTCAAAGGTTCGATGTCCTATACTGACAGAGTACATCAGTATGTCATATTAGTTATTGCATTCATCATACATTGTTATTTTCGCTTGTTTGTTCTTGAGCTTGGTAAAGAAATTTATTTTGAAAATACATCAGCTAAATTTATTCTTCAATTTTTGATTAAGCTATTAAATGTTTCTTTTGTTTCTCAAAAGAGCAGGTAGGCTTTGTGATTCATAGAAGTTAATAAGGTCAAAA